ATTTTTAGCTTACAGTAAGCTTCTGTTGCTTCACTTTCGCTTCAATCGAAAACCTGCTGGTGATAAAGCACCGAATTCCAGTTTCCTTTCCAGGTATTCAGTTCAACTGTTCTAAAAGGTCATTAAAACCAGTAAAAAAACTCACAAGGCCTTCGTGACCTTCGTTGGTTGAGATTTGAACGTCAGCCATATTGAATGATCGCAACCAATTAATCCCCAGGACTAATTAATCGCTCTCTCAGAGAAGGCCTGGGAGAGAGGCCTGGCTAAAACTCGCTGGCGAGAAATTGGAAACTCGCTAGCGAGAAATTGAACACTCGTTAGCGAGAAATTAAAAGCTCGCTAGCGAGAAATTAGAAACTCGCTAGCGAGAAATTGGAAACTCGCTAGCGAGAAATTGAAAACTCGCTAGCGAGAAATTGAAAACTCGCTAGCGAGAAATTAAACACTCGCTTGCGAGAAATGAAGTTTCCCAAAAAAAAACTCAACCATCGCTTTATAAAATTCACCCATACATGTTCCAAGCTCACCATTTAAGATTTGCAACTCGCCAAGACTAAAAGCCGGTTAGACCAAGATTTAAAACTCGAATGGCTTTTGGCAGTAACGGCTTGCCATAGGCACTCCCTTATATGTGCTATATAGCTATGTGCGGCCCCAAAGGGTGCGATTTTCAGCCATTTTGGTAATGAATAGGGTATCGATTTTGTACAATTTGGTCATAAATAGGGTATGGTTTGTGCACCCTAGTCTTGAAGTGGGTATAGTTTTTTACAAGAAGCTACTTTTTCAGCAAATTTATTGATGAGACCTTGAAGGAAAACCCCTCACAACGCCTTCAAAATCGGTCTGAACTAAGGAGCTATTTCTAAGTCAGGTCGGAAACAGGGTATTGATTTAAGGGTCAGGTCATAAATACGGTATCGGATTTTTTGGTCAGGTCATAAACAGGGTATGGAAAATCGCAGATTTTGGGCCTAACTAGGGTAAGGGTTTCGGAAAGTGGCCCACACAACCCCACCCAATTTTTCTGGGAGTACCCTCCCCCCAGGCTTAGAGACAGTGAATGATGTTCGCTCCATTTTTTCGCAGAACACCTTTCATTATAATTCGGGGTACTGGAGCGATTATAATGAGTTCAACGTTCTTGGAGGAGAGACTGGGTTTGACACACAAGAGACCAAGTTACCGAGCTACTGGAAAACGCCCTTCTCCAAGATCTGTCTTGGTATGAAGATCGGCCAACAGATCAACTTCATTGTCATCAACAAGCAGGCCAAATCCCTGGACTCACTGATCGCCGATGGGCAATACCGCAACACCTCACTGGGTCGTAACACGTGGAAGACGCTGATTGGATCACAGGGCTCATTGCAATCCAACTGTGACAAGGAAGGGTTCAACACGGCTAGCGTTCACGTCACTTTGGGTAAAGCTCGAATTGGTATCCTTGGAAACAACGAGAAAGACTGCATTAAGTGTGACTCCAGAATAGGATTTGGTACAGGAGGACGGCACGATGACACTAACACGTGTGGAAACGAGGACGCCGAATTTAATGTACACATTAAGGCCATGGGATACATCTTGGTGCAATGAGGCGCATCTGCCATTACTATTCCATTGGTAAACGGGAACGTTATATGATTTTTAGATATTTCGGTACATCGTGTTTGATTCGTTCTTTTGCAAGGTTTCGCTTTGAAAAGTCAGTTACATTGACTTCTAGAAAAGTAAATCTTCCAAAAAGGGCGATTTAAAGGAGAAGATGAAGGTCATGCAGACACGAAAAATCCAGACGTTAAAAAAAAAAATTAGATGTTAGCGTACAAACCAGAGCAGCATAGGAACTGAGGTTTACATGCATGTAATGAGTATAATTGCCTGGGGCTTTGTAAACAGCGAGCGGCCGTTTCCTATTTCATTTCAATGGTAAATTAAAATACAACCAACAAAATAGAATGACTTCACGAAACTTTGTTTACCTAGCTTCATGCAAGATGACTCCACAGCAAATCAGAGATCGCTTTACATGAGCAAGGTTTTTAAATGAAATAAATTGTATGGTTTTAACGTTATACAATGTTAGACAGGTGTTTATTTGTCTTCTTTCATAGCAAAGTGTTCGACGGTGAGCATGCTCTATAAATTACATTCTGCTGTGAACAGCTTATCTAATTTTTCGCTGAAGATTTCTCCACGAATATGAAACGCTGTTATTTCTCAGTGTGTCGTTTACCTTCCGCGTTCGTTCTCTGGGAAATTTGCTTTCATTACCTAGTACTCACGATGCAAGGTCTGTATGTACACCTCTGTTAAATTTTAGCCCAGACAAAGTAAAATGTTGGATGGCTTTCATTTTCTTATTAACATTATTAATCAGGGTAGAGTTGTCTTGGTTATGCATGAAATCGGCATGTGCCCGCTGCTTACGATATATAGCACTCCCGTGAATTCCAGTGTTTATTTATCTATATAGTAGTGCCGGTCCTAGTTACAGACCAATACTGCGCATGCTTGTGAAATGCCCTAGAAGCGACAAAACAAATTAGACCACTAATGAAGTAAAGAAACTCCTTGACTACGAGGGAGCTCGACCTCGCGACTTTCATTTCATGACTACGAACGTAATTTCATGGGAAACAGTCATGTGCTTCTAATTATTGTTTGTAGAACTTCCAAGCTTGTGTGCATAAATAAAATTCATATTCCATTGTAGCTTTCTTAACAAAATGCCATCTTTCACGTAGTGTTAGTGATATTCAATACGTTCGCCTTAGTTTGCGCAAATACCTCTTTAAAATAGTCAACTTGTTGCTTAATGTTTTAAGAGTGCAGTGTGAAGTGTATTTTTGGTGTGGGTATACATGTAATAAATGTGGCTAAATGTCTGTTGCAATATTTAAGGTGGCCGAACACAGTTTTCAAGTGCCTATGCCTAATTCACCATTACTTTTAAACTATTTATGCTTTGGCGCCCATTTTTTTGCAAGAGTCAAGGTTAACCACAGAAGGGTTTATTCTCGCATTTTGGCTAAGGTGTGTGCTGTTGCCATGGCAACGGGGCTGGTTAAAAACAAAGCTTAAAAAATGGTTTTTGTTTATNGAATTAATACCCATTTATTGATATCCATTTGATTGACTTATCTTAACTTGTTGTTGTTGTTGTTTTTTTTTTTTGTAGGAAGCTACATGTATATCGAAACGTCAGCACCTCGACAATATGGGGAAAATGCCAAACTGGAATTTTCAGTGTCCAGCTCTGACATTGGGAAGTTGTCCTGCCTGAAGTTTTATTATCACATGTATGGGGAAACAATAAACACAATCAATGTCTACAACGGAAATAACAAAACGTTCAATCAATCAGGAAATCAGGGCGATGTATGGGTGAAAGCGAACATCACAATGATTTTGGAAAACAAAGTAAGTTGTATACTGTTGATCACTGTGTTTGGAAATCTAGGTCTTCTTGTACAATAAGCTGAAAAAGTAAAGGAGTCGAGAGATTGGTAAAGTGGGTCTTTTACAATTAATTTAAGGTGGCCGAGCACAGTTTTCAAGTGCCTATGCCTAATTCACCATTACTTTTAAACTATTTATGCTTTGGCGCCCGTTTTTTGCAAGAGTCAAGGTTAACCTCAGAAGGGTTTATTCTCGCATTTTGGCTAAGGTGTGTGTTGTTGCCATGGCAACGGGGCTGGTTAAAAACAAGGCTTAAAAATGGTTTTTGTTTATTTTAAAAAAATCCAGTCGTTAGAGTTTTTTCATCATTTGCCCACTACGAATTGAC